GGGGGGGGGGGGGGGGGCACCCCTGCGCCCTGCTGGGTGGGAGGTGGGGGCGTGGAGCCAGCGGGCGCTCACCATGGGAAACAGGCCCAGGGAGTGGTAGCGCCGGGACGTGGTGTTGGGCATGGTCTTGTTCCGGAGGTTCTTCAGCTCCTCCTGCGCCTCATGAAGCATCTCCATGCACTCTGCATACTTGTCCTCCAGCTCGCGCAGCTGCAGCAAGTCAGAGAAGCGTGCAGGGTCAGGGACCGGCGGCCCTGAGCCCTGAAGCTGGACACCAAAGAGCCCTTGAGGCTCAGTTTGGCTTCCAACTGGGGTGTGTGTGTGTGTGTGTGTGTGTGTACTCATGGGCTCAGAAACCTCCCAAATTCTGACAACGGGCAAGTGAGATCACAGGCTTCCCATTACGGAATGCGGAAGTCGTGGGAATGAAAGGCACAGCATAGGGAACAGCGTCAATGGCACTGCAACAGCGCTGTATGGGGACAGGTGTGGCTACACTGTGGAGAGAACAGAATAACGTACAGAGATGCTCAATCACTGCGTCGTACATCCAAAACGACTCTAACAGGGTGTGCCAACTATACTCAAATTAAAAAATTATTTGTTTCCCAACAGCATCCATCTATCTTGACACGAACGGGAGAGATAGTCACACCCTCGTTTCCAGCCACATCTCTCAACAGGTGCCTTTACGCGGCGAGCAACGTGTCGTTTCGCTGATGGAAACGTTCAGCGGGAGCGGGCTGTGCGGCACCAGCCTCCCCGGCCCTCGTGGCAGCGACAGTGTGAGCACGAATTTACAAGTAAGAACGACTTTCGATTCAGGAGAAACACGGGTAGTGACCCCCAGCCTGGCAGGGGGAGGCTGAGAAGCGGGACGGGCCTGGAGAAGGGAGGCAGAGCCGCTCACCTCGGCCGTGAGCTGCCGCTGGGCATCCTTAGCCGCCCCCAGGTGCTGGACCAGCTCTTCATTTTCCACGGCACACTGCAACACGCCAAGGGGCCAATCAGCTTCTCTTTTAAGACACTGGAAGCGGCTCACTGTTCTCCTCTTATCATCTGAGCTGTTACAATCCTGTCACATTTCTACAACGAGACTTCTGTGCCAGAGTAAAAATTTCGTCTTCCTTCTATACAATTTTGAAAGCAGCCTTGCCCCCATCCAGCACAGCTACGGCCCCTCTCTGGACGCACATCACCTCGCCTTGCTTCTAGCAAGGGCCTGAGCCGGGAAACTAAACCGTATTTGGGTTTGCTTCTTGCTGCTGCTGCTGCTAAAAAAGGGGGGTGTTGTTCTGCCACAGAGCACACGGGGTGTGCTGTGCAAGAACAAATATTAGACTAGAAAATTCAAACATTAAATTCCAAAACTCCCTATCGACAGTACCTTTGTTCACAAACTCTTTTAACGTGCAGATTCTTTTTAGGAGATAAGTGGTGATGACAGGATCCCCTCCCCGGTTCAGGACAACGAGCTTTGTCCTATTGAATCTGCTAAGCCTTTTTCTCCAAAGGGGCAGCACAAAATCCTAAACTATGAGACTAAAGGGCACGGTCTTCAGGTGCAAATGCCATCTGCACTGGCTCGAGAAACAGAAGCTTACAGCTTTGGCCTTCTTCTGCAAGTCAACTATCTGGGACAGCAGGTGCGTGATCTCCTCTTGCTGGCGGGCAGCATCCTCAGTCTTCTTGGCCAGCTCCTCTGAGATGCTGGCAATCTGCACATTGGCATCCCCTGTAATCAAGAAATGACAACCACCAGAGGGAGTCAGACCCAGAGAGAATGGTCTCTTTGTGGCTTGCACAAGAAAAAGCATCTTTGTTACAAGACAGGGGGGGGGGGGGGGGGGGGGGGGGGGGGGGCGGGGGGGCAGAAGTGGAGAGAACACGGAGGGAGGATCAGTGCCCGTTTTCTTGCCCCGGCTCAGTCTGGGCAGCCCCCAGGTGTGGCTCCCGGGCCTGGTGTGGGGGCCCAACCCCCCTGACCACAGCTGCCTCCCCAGAGGAAATCAGGCTTTGGGCGTCAGGCAGGAGATGCCACACCAAACCAAGGTCCATCTGCCCAAATTCTCACCTTCATGCATACGCAGATCCACATCATTAACAGGAACCCCTGTTGTACCCCATTCTAGAAGGAACTGCTACCTGCACAGTCTAATTCCCTTGGGTGCTTTCAACCCATATTCAGAGTCATAACTCATTTTACTAGATGTGAACACAGGGTGTGTTTCATCTACTGAGTGTTCTGCTGAAGCTCAAAATATTGTTTGCCCTTTTGTCTTAACTTGTAAACTTATGATGGAAGGGACAGGGGAAGTACTTGTTTGCAAAGCAGAGAACTCTGGCCTCAACTTTTGCACATCAGTCACGAGAAACCAGTTTTTGCACATTAACACCGGAACTCCGTAACCGGGCTTAATTTAGGCATCATATAACTCCAGTATTCCAGTAGAAAGCCAACATCGAAATCAGACATCCGTCTCCGTGAGAAGAGAAATGAAGACAGTGCGTGGATGACAACCTAGCACCCAATTTCTCATGAATCAGAGTGAGGGGTGCCTCTAGTTTTCAGAAAAATGTTACTGAACCCAAGCTGGCCAGGGAGACTGTACTTTCTCAAGGGTGATGCAAATCTGTCTAGTCACAATGATGCAGAAAATAAAAAGAGGGATAGGGGTGGAGCACGAGGGCCAGGACATACTCAGCTCCTTCACACAGTCGTTGACCAGCTGCTGTTCCTTCTCTTCGTAGGTGATGGTCTCCGTCTTTAGCTGGCAGGCCTGTGGACAAGGGTCAGGTCAGAGGCCCCACATTCACATCTGGACTGGTGGGGCGGGCAAGGCCGAGGCATAGAGCAAGGATGAACCTGGGTCTGGGATGCTGCCTTTGACCATCTCCCCATCTGTGATCCATTATACCCTCAAATCCAGAAAGTCCATCAGAATGCCCTGCTTAGTTAAGGAATCGGATGTTCAAAGCTGAAGAGATGAAAACGGTGTACCACCAGAGGGCGCCACACAAAGCAATATGCGTGCTACAGGAGCCACCCTTGTATCAATGTCTGTCTATTCGTTCGCGTCTGTCCCAGACCGCAGACACAGACCCCTTTGTGACCCCAACAGTATCTAGGACCCAGCTCTGTCTACCACGGGCATTCTAAGGATGACCACAAGAATGGCTCACACTTGTTTTATGTGAGGCACCTTCCTGTGAGGTCTGACTTGGAGTTAGAGCTATTGTATTCAGCTTAGTAAAAACCAGGTACAATAGGAAAGCACCAACATTCAGAGACCTGAGAGACAGGACTCAGGAGAACCTGCTCCAGGCTGAAAATGTGGGAAAAGAGAGATCCAAAGGTTTGATGAAAATATCCCAGGTAGAAAGAAGGTATCTCTGAGCCTCCAGATCCCAGGGAGACACTATACTCCTGAACTGAGATGGAATCTGCGGCTGGGATCGGATTCCCTCTTGCTTTAGGTGGGCATTCTGACAGCTGAACTGCTGTGTGTCCAGGACTGGAGCATTTACCTGGGGCAGGCACTAGAATGGAAAACTCTGGGCAGCAGTCCTGGCTCAGCCACTGGCTGGCAGAGAAAGCTTGGACAACCCTCTTTGGTCTCTCTGGGCTTGTATTACCCACCAGTAAATGAGGACTAGAAGACCTAAGGTCTAAGAGAACATCACCTTCCTCATGATTAGCCCTGTTCAGCCAAGACATGAAGCTCTGTCCAACATGTGAGTAAGTTCAAGGCCCTACTGGAGGGGTTTCAGGGACCCCTGGGCCAGCTAAGGTGGGCTTGCAGCCCTAACTCGACTAGCCATACCTCTGGCCACAGAGCATAAACTCACTGAATTAGGACAAAAAGTACCAAACTTGCATGCCTCAGTGTTTCCAGGTAGGGGCAGTGGGTGAAGGGAAGTAACGGGAGGTTCAGAATCACAGAGCCTCACAAATCCTGGCTTTGTCATTCACTATCTTGCACCATGGTAGCAAATCAAACACTCCGCTGCCTGGGTCCCGGTTTTCTGGCTGTAAACGAGGAGCTTCCAGCCTTGCAGTGAAACTTGAAAAAAAGAACACAGGCACAGTGTCTGGCACAATGACTAGCCAGTCAGAAATACTCAAAAGCACGAGTTCCCAAGTGGCCTTGGCTCTACCTTTTTAATTGTCTAGGAAATAGGTCTCCAAGTCCCCATGTGCTATTTCCTTAGAGCATATCTGACCTGCGGCAACCTGGAAATGAGGCTTTCACCCTGGGCTTCCACGTCATTTCCATGCCAGAGCTGGAGGACACCATGGAGAGACCCCCTGCCCCCGCTACCAAGGGACCCCTGCCCTAGCTGAAGGAGGAGGGGCCCACCACTGTCACCCACCCTGAGGATCCCACCCGGATGGGCGTGTGCTCCCCGGAGGCCAATGGCCAGCACACAGACGTGGCTCGCCTGACAAGCGCTGGGTGCAGCTGGGAGCTGAGCGCAGGCGACTCTCCCACAGACTGTTGCCTCTGAGAATGGTGCTGTAGCCACGGCGGCTCCGGCCACCTGAGGCCAAGGGGCCACCACCCTCCAGCGGGGACGGGGGCAGGGAGCGCGCTTCACCTCGGATCGGAGCACGACGTTCTCCTCCTCAAGGTCCTTCAGCTTCTTCTGAAGAGAATCCAGATGAAAGTAGTTCTGCACGTTGGAGGATGACTCATTCCTCTTCAACCTGGGGGAGAGAGCACGGGCTCGCTCTGGGAAGAGACGTTTGTTCCCCGCAACCTGGCAAACCCAGGGAACCTCGGGGGGCTCTTCCATCGAGTGATCATGAAACACGCAGGTGTGACAGTGACCCCCCCAGGAAAACAGCACCCGTCGGCTCACAGACTCGCCACCCTCAGGACCCACATCCCAACCCTCTGTCCATCACTGGCATTTGCCACATGGCCTCAGAAGTCAGCAGGATCAACTGCTCAAAGCCTACACAGTTCTGGATGCCTGGAAGTCTATTTAATATTTGTAACGCACTTCTAATGTGCCTAGAACAGTTTTAAGTACTCTACTTGTACACTCATAACCCTATAAGGACTATCAGTCTCTCCATTTTACAAATGCAGAAACGAGCAGAGTGCTTAAGTAACTTGGCCAAGAGCACGCAGCTAGTAAAACCACAGAGCCAAGGTCTGAACTCGGGCCACTGGGCTCGAGAGGTAGTGCTCCTAACATGAGGCTCTGCTGACCCCCAGAGAAGGCCTCACACCTTCTGCCCCAGGGGCCCACCATGGCATCTCTGGTTCCAGAACCCACCTGCCGGGCCCATGGCCAGGCCAGATCAATCAAAACTGCTAAATGTCCCGCTGAAATAGCACAATCAATCTGTCTGAGGCACGAGGAGATGCTCGGTCTGGGGAAGGCTGGGAGTGGCTGACCTTCACGGCCGGTGAGGCGACCCTGCCGAGGCAAGTCCAGAGACCCTGGCAACAGCCAGCCGCCTGTGCCCCGGCCGCAGGGACTTACGGGGTGGAGCACACGGACTCGGGCTCACTGTCCTCTGCAGCACTGGCGTAGAATTGCAGCAACTCATCCTTCATGGACAGCTCATGCCGGAGCTGGGACACCTGCACAGACACGGGGGGGACAGCTCATGCCGGAGCTGGGACACCTGCACAGACATGGCGGGGGACAGCTCATGCCGGAGCTGGGACACCTGCACAGACACGGCGGGGGCTCACATTCATCCCCAAGCACTGACAATGCCCCCGTCACGTTCCAGCACTTGCTGCTGGGGGGACACCATTTCGTTCCTTACCAAAAGTGAACGCGTGTAATTGATGCTGTGCTCGACAAAGAAAAGAGATTGCATTTGACCCCGTTTAAGAAAAATACAGTCCGTTATTTTTTGGACAGAAAGCCCTCTGCCTAAATTTATAATTTTTACTTTGGTTCAGAGATGAGGTGAGAGGGGACTAGAAGGTTCCAGAATGGTATTTGGGGAAGGGGGGCAAGGCAGCATATGGGTTTTGCAAGTAGCCAGATGATCGGCTGGGCAAACGGCCAGAGAAAAAGATCCTGTTACCAAATGAAAAAAAAAGAGGCCATTCACTTCTGCTGAAACAGAATGCCACCGCGGACCAGGACCCTGGCGATGCCAGCTCTGGGTGGGCAGCTACAAACAGCTTGTCACCCCTCACAGCCCCACCCTGTGACTGCTACACCCTCACAGGGCTCCCAGCCAAGCCTGGCCAGGCCTTGCTCTGTACTCAAGGATCACAAGATAGCAATTTCAGACACAGAGAGAACAGAGGCAGACATCAGGAAGTGGCCACACTGATTACTGCTAAGGCAGCTGTTGCAAATCACCTGATTTATACTTGACGTCTAAAATAAACAAACCTGTGCCATAAAAGTTTTCACTGCCCGTTTACCACGCAGTACGGAGGAACAGGGAGCTACCGCTGTAAGCAAAAATTAGAACAAAGTTTTCATTCTTTCTGGTTTCTAATCTGATTTGGGGTCCGTGGTTTATTTTGGCTTTCCTACACAACCGAGTGTTTATGACTTCCATGGAGAAGCAGACTTTATGCGCACAAAAGCTTTAGTTTCAATATCTAGACTGACAATTTAATAATATGCCAAAGGGGAACATATCACAGCTTTCAAATTCAAAGCTTTTCCAAGGAAAAAGAGGTATTTCCACTTCCCAAGAGTTGCATGCCATTTGTGTGAGGCGAGGAAGCCCCAACACAAGGGCAGGTGCGTGGGGAAGCAGCACGTGAGGGGCAATGGTTGACCATTTACTGGGTCCTGGGCAACACGTTCCTCTGCTCAGAAGACCAGGCTGAGGGGCGCCTGGGTGGCTCAGTCGGTTAAGCATCCCACTTCAGCTCAGGTCATGATCTCGCGGTTTGTGGGTTCGAGCCCCGCCTCGGGCTCTGTGCTGACAGCTCAGAGCCTGGAGCCTGCTTCACGTTCTGTGTCTCCCTCTCTCTGACCCTCCCCTTCTCATGCTCTGTTCCTCTCTCAAAAATAAATAAGATTAAAAAAAAAAAGAAAAAAGACGAGGCTGACCTGGAATGCTTTAATGCCTGAGGGAAGGGAAAGTCAGGCCATGACCACTGGGGGCAAGGAAAGCTGGGGGCAAGGAAAGCTGGGGTCAAGTTTACTTCTCCAAAACACAACCACGTTTGACCTTATTGTCTTTCAAAAGGTGCAGATCTATTTCATCATATGAAAACAATTATTAAACCCAGACAACAATAGTTGGGAACAGCTTTAATGAGGAAAAGGTCTGAATGCATCTAAGAGACACAAGTAAGGGCATCCCTTCCCACTTAGAAAGTTTCTGATAGAAAATAAGGGAGAAGAGAGGTGCCTGGGTGGTTCAGTCGGTTAAATGGCTGACTCCTGATTTCAGCTCAGGTCATGATCTCACAATTCTTGGGTTCGAGCCCCATGTTGGGCTCCGCGCTAACATTTCTGAGCCTGCTTGGGAATCTCTCTCTCAAAAATAAATACATGTTTAAAAAACAAAAAAACAAAAAAACAAAAACAGGGGTGGCTGGGTGACTCAGTAGGTTAAGCGTCCAACTTCAGCTCAGGTCATGACCTAACAATTTGTGAGTTTGAGCCCTGTGTCAGGCTCTATGCTGACAGCTCAGAGCCTAGAGCCTGCTTCAGATTCTGTGTCACCCTCTCTGTCTGTGCCTCCCCTGCTCACACTTTGTCTCTCTCTCAAAAATAAACATTAAAAAAAGTAAAAAAAAAAAAAAAAAAAAAAAAAAAAAAAAAAAAAAAGGGAGAAGAAACCAGGAGAAGAAGAGTATCAAATGAAAGTCCTCACGGCTAAAATTCCAAATTAAAAGAACAGGATAATGGAAAAGAAACTACAGGGGCGCCTGGGTGACTCAGTTGGTTGAGTGTCCGACTTTGGCTCAGGTCATGATTTCATGGTTTGTGAGTTCGAGCCCCGCTTCAGGCTCTGCACTTAACAGCTTGGACCAGGGAGCCTGCTTTGGATTCTGTGTCTCCCTTTCTCGCCGCCCCTCCCTCGCTTGTGCTCTCTCTCTCTCTCAAAAATAAACAAACAAACATTAAAAAAATAAAATTAAAAAAAAGGTACAAAGTAGGGCCCGACTCTAACTCCTAAGCCTTGCAACACCATCTGACTCTGCAGAACTTGCCTCCTCCTGCCCACACCATGACCTTCCGGGAAACCAGTGGTACTCCTCTGAAACCCGAGTCCCTTAAGATAAACCTACTCTACCCCCTACCCCTGACCACTGATACTCTTTCGCCAAGATTTGTATCATGGAAATGACAGGGTTTCTATCATGACAACAACAGGCTATTTTTTGGGTCTGTTTTACAAACATGAAATTATATCGTAAGGAAGACTGTGCGATCACTGGCCTCCTCTGCAGCACAGGCTGGCCTCCTCCTGACTGGGCTCCCCGCCAGCCTGCCCATGCCCACCCCCCTCAGGACCCCCTGCTCACTGCCGTCTTAGCCCGTGTGCACTCCTGCCACGTGCTGAGGGTCTTTCCCAGCCTATGGAGGATGCGGACTCTTGGGAGACGGGGACCATGAGGGCTGTTCCTACCCAGCTGGTGCCGTCCACACTGTCCGAAGGAGGGTCATGAACAGAAGCCGCAGCGGGAAGGCGGCTTTCTGCCTCCAGGTGGCCACTTCGGAGCAGGCAGGTCTAGGGGGCCTGAGCCCGAGCCCGCCCGAGCCCACCCGGCCTGGCCTTCGCCACAGCTCCTCACCTCCTCCCTGATGTGTTCCACTTGCTCTTCCAGAAGCTCGTTCCTCTCCGTTAGTGTCTTGTTCTTCTTCAACAATGACTGGCCGATCCGAGCAGCCAGTTCTAAATCCCGCTCTTTCTATGAAAGGCAAGAGTGAGAACAGACGTTCAAAACACCTGCGCTTCCTGAAGGAGCCAAGGGTGCTGCGTGTCAACTGAGGAAAATAGGGCATTTAGAAATGACAAAGGAATGAATCACTCGCCATCCGCATACCAGCATCCGATACCTGTTCAGAGAAGGGGGGCGCTCTGCCCACATAATGCGCAAGAGCTACGCAGACCTCGGGCAATAGGAGAGACCCTTAAAATCCCAGGAAAACAAGTCTCTGTTCCTAACAGAGAAACATGCTTCCGAAAACATTTCTCTGCAGCAGCTTTGGTATTTGTGAAATCCTTAAAAAGCCGGTCCCTAAGTTTCCTCAGGGAGGTGCCATCAGTAAAGAGGCAGACACCGGAGGTGTTAAGAAAGTTGTAACAAATAACTTCAGGTAACTTATTTAACGGGTAAGTTCAACTCCCATTCTTGACATGACTACTTTCCTTATAAAACTGAACCAAAAGCCTATTATCTCCTGATTGGTGTCCCATCTGAACAGGTGGCAAAGGCAAATGCGTACATGGCCTCGGGCCAACAGCTTCCACTTAACAAAGGTCAGGGAGACTCCAGATTAGCTTTTTATAAACCGTCAGTAGGTGGAGAATCATTTTTGTAATGGCAACTGCTATTTTGTTTTAAATGAAATTCTACGGCACAAACTTGAAATACCAAAGTGAATTCCACATGATAAGGGTATTAATTCATGTTTACACTTTTGCTTGTCACGTATTTATGTAGGTGAGTATCAAGTCACAACCTAAGGTGCATTTCTTACAGTGGGTACTGGTCGAGTTTAACTGCTCCGGGCAAACCCTTCTCCATGACTGTAAGAGGTCGGGTTCTGCCCGAACATCCTCGGGACCCAATTCCCTCATCTGTTCTCTCATCTTAGATGGCGAGGGGAGATGGGGTTACCTTTGGAAAAGTCTTCTAGCATTATGATTCAGAGGTGAACGATATTTAAAAAAAAAAAAAAGGAAAACAAAGGCAGCTTTTACTTCT